TGTGTCACATCACATTCAAGTGAAGAATGGTACTAACAGACAAGCACATTTGCCCATTATTAATCGCACAAATTGGAGAATGTAATATACAACACAAAATTCTCGCTTCCCTGTTACAGAAAAAGCAATTACTTTCATTAACAAAACCGAGTCATCAGACCATTTCCAAACTAAAATGTAAGCAGAAACGACTTCATTTAATGCGCTTTCCGTCATAGAAAAGAAAGTTTTATTATTATCACACTGCCTCCTAGTTAAGAACATGAGCACTTACTTAGCTGAGTTTACGAATTCAAACCAGAGTTTTAAGTCGTATACCACTTTGCTTGGAAAATTAAAGGCTGATAAATATATTTTAAGCACCTTGACAGAAAACATTTTGAAAACTAGAGTGTTCAAGGTCTGTATGATCATATCTTCTCAATTTTTGTATAAGTTGACATGCACTTGTAAAGAAAAACAAGTTAATGCAGTCGTTCCACAGAAGAAAATTCTATTACTTGTTTGTTTTTTATAGGTTCTGCTAGTTCCTAGTGTAGCAAGTAGTTCGTTAATGTCACTCTAGATCAAAACGCACTCTTTGATGACAAAAAGCGTTGCCAGAATAGCAGTAATGATACTTTATGTAATTTTGTGATGATATTTTCCTACTAAAATTAGTGCAAGACTACACAGAATTTAAAAAGTTAGTCAAAATTGCTCAAAATGAAAAAAACTGATTTTTATGTGTTGCAATTGTTGAAAACAGAATTCTGAACTTCTCAGATTAAAAGTCGTTTGTAAGGGCTCCGGATTTTCCTAAGGTCAAAAAGCCATAATTTTGAGAAAGAAAGTGTATTGATGACGTAGAGAAGGAATAGAGGCAACTGACATGGCTCAGAGGATATGCTGCTTTGCGGAAACACAATAAATAAGTAAAATAGACATGCGAGGCATTAAAAACCATTGCAAGTTTTGTCAAAGGCTAGGCACTTTGAATCAGTCTGGTGTTGGTTACTTGGGTCCATAAGCTTTGTGCTATATACGAACATGGCAGCAGCGGTCTGAGCGGCACCCAAATTATAGGCAATAATAAACAAGATGGCTGCATAATTCTTAGAAGATTATTACTAAACTGATGTTCCAGGATTAATTTACAAAAATCCTTACAAAATTCGGTGATAAATACAAAGGTAAGCGGGTGTGATTAACATAAACCCAGTAAAAATCCTTGGACCCGAGTTATTGGAGGATTTGAAAAGTCACAACCAATTTAGATTAGCAACATAAATATTACTAATAAGGCTTCATAGCTAAAAAAGATAAGATCGCTTTGAGGTCAATGAACTCCTCCATAAAATGCTTAAAGATGTGTAATTTTAGTAATAAAATAT